AATCGATTGTTCCAAACAAAAACTTAAAATTTTGCCTTTTAAAAGACGTTATTTGAATGATAATCACGTATGGATCTATAAGAAACATAGAATGATTTAGATAAAAAGATTTTGAGCATCCAAAGTTTATGTACTTATGAATTGTCTTTGTACCTTGATATTCATGATTCAATCATTTGATTTCCAAAGCTTATGCCATCTTGATACTTGATTTAGATATTTTTCTTCTTTGTTTTTTCTTCAATAAAAATCTTTTGTCTTCATCAAAACTTAATCTAAGATAGATAACGAACATCTTCTTCACATCTAACATGTTTACATTTTTAATATAATTTTTTTTAATTTGTTTTATCCAAATAAAAATTATGTGTGAATGTTTTCTTATTAAAAAATTTGAAAAACAAAATACTAATAATTTAACATTTCACAGTTCTTGCTTCCTTCTTTAGTTTTCTTATTTTATAACATGTATACTATAAATTGTTTTCAGGAGAGACAATTGAAGAAAGAGTTAAAGGTTGTTGCGCATGGCAGCAAATTGATAGGGTGGATTCTGCACATGCTCCCACCTGTGGTACATACTTGGTTGACGAACTCTGGTATATCCTCTCTCCAGAGAACCAGTTTGTCGAGGATAGACCAGAATTTGGTATCGGCCTTCATAGAGAGGTGAAATCTGGAAACATCGTTATTTCATATGCCATTTGGCGAGATGACCATTACTTTGGACGATGTTTTATGTCTTCTTCACATACCAATTAGGGGTGAGTTATTTGACCCTGAAGATGGCTTCACTGATAGTGGTGCTATTAGACTAGCTATTGATCTAATGGGTGTTCCATTGGAAGAGGCAGTTGAGGGGATCCAATTTTGTATAGGTCCTTATTATAGACTGGATTGGTTGAAAACGATATTTGTGTGTCAGTGAGCTGCTAGTAGATTTAACTGTGATGCTAGATCCTATATGATCGTGTTGTTAGGTTGCACCACTCTTGCTGACAAGAGCTTTACTCTTGTAAAGGAAAAGTATTTACCACTTTTTAGGGACTTGGATGGATGTGGTAGATATTGTTGGGGAGCAATGACACTTGTCACACTTTACCAATATTTAGGTGATGCTTCCTTCTATACATGCAAGCAGCTTGGCGGATATGCCTCTCTTCAACAAGTACACAATGTTTTATTTTTATTTTTATTTGATTTATCTTTATTTATTTATAATGATTTTAATTGATAATATTCATGGTGTGTAACAGTGTTGGATTCACGAGTATTTTCCCACTATTGGGAAGAGATGTGTGTTTGGGATTTGGGGTGTAGGTAGTCCGGTTATAAGGGCGATGAAATGGAGTTACAAGCAAGGAACCCAAAAGGTTAATGAGTACAAGCATCTCTTAGATGCACTGACATCCAATGATGTCATTTGGCGGCCTTTTGCGGATCACAGTCAAACATGTCCATTTGATGAGATATGTCTCTACAGGGGTGGTCTGAAATGGTATGGGACATTTATGCTATATTCACCTGACAGATGTTTGTGTCAGTTTGGATATAGATAGTACATACCACATCCACATCCACTCGGCCATATGATGTAGTCGATAAGTAACTGACTTGGTATTATACGGTGTCACATCCTCGTTTGGTAGCACCACCACAAGATTAGGTGAGAGAGATCCAAGTTCCTGTATGTGACGAAGGATCATCGGACCATAGGTTGTCATATATTTCACGTGAGCTTCATCGCTACTTACAGCGTCATGAGGCAAATGAGGAGGACGATGAGTTCGTTGAGATTTTTTGGTCACTATGTATAGCTCAGGGTGGACCACTACTTCAGGGAGGACCGATACCTTATGAGTCTGACGCATGATCACTTTTCATTTTTGTTATTTTGAGACTTATGTATTATTTTGAGACTTGTGCTATTTTGAGACTTATGTTGAAAATATAACTTTTAGTCATTACAATCCAAAATTTAGCATGAAGTCATATGTCAATAGAATCCAAAAAAAAACACATTACAATTATAGTCTAATATATTGTGGCGCTGTAGGTGTAAGGCGTTGCCAATGTTGTAACCGTTTGACAAATCCTACCATCTAAGAAGTCCCGTCTTTTGTGCGAAATTTCTTCCAATCCAATGTGATAGGTGGCAATGGAAAGCCTTCATTCATGTTTATCTGTTTAGGAAATTAAGATTAAACGAAAAATATGCAAGTAACTTAACAACAAGGCATGAAACAAAAAATAAATAAGAAACGAATAATTACTTGTACCCAATGATTTTCGTCTACATATCCAATGCAGTAAATGGACACATTAGGTGAATATGAAGTTGTCATAGGAAAGAAAGTTAAAGAAGGATAATCCAAAGAGATGATAATGACATTATACCGATTAGTTATTACATAAGTCATATCTGATAATGTCATCCATTTCTCTTGTGGTTGTTGACCTAAAGATGATATCATCAAAGATTTTCTCACTACTGAAAGACGAGCTCCAAATAACTGCTCATACAAATTGCTTCTAGGACCTTTAAATTCATTATCTAATTCACGACGAATAATTGGCCATCCATCCGAGCCATAACCATGCAACGATGCAATGACTCTAAATCCATAATTTCCATCCTTCAAAACATCAACAATGTCATCAATAAATAATTTTATATACTCTGGAAATTGTGCAATGAAATTACTAGATGGTTTATTCTTTGAGGTTTGTGATAATTATGAACATGCCCTCTTTGAAGATTTTTGGGAACTCGAGTGTTCTCGACCAACATACTTATGATATGAAGGGTCGCGATAAACATCATATCCCACATGTTTCTTCTCATTCTTCTTCACCCCTCCTTTGGTTTCTATTTTTTCAGGAGGTGGCAACATATTTGTTGTAGTGGGATAAGAATTTTCACACACCCTACTTTTTAATGCTCTTTTTCCTACAACATCTAGTGACTTGAACTTTTTCTAAATTTCTTCAATTACATTGGTCATGTCCACCTCGGATCCATCATTTGCATCTTCCTCTTGTTTGCCTTTCATACTTAGCTTTCTCCAACGGATGTGAATAACCTCAATTGTTATCGGATCACCGCTTAATGTATATCTCTCTAACTCACAAGCATAAGGTAACCCATATACTTTTCTATGAGTACACCCGCACATTTGGGTGTTTGTACCCATAATGTCAACCCTCGGCCACTCTTCAGCAATATGCCTCATAGCAGTTGTGGATACCGACCCATGCAAATTCCCATAAAATGGACTAGTGTGTGCATGCTCAACTTCATAAAAACTCTTCTGAAATGAAGCTCTAATACTACTCAATTGTATATTGAGATTTCCATTCATTGCCTCCCAACATTTGCACATATCACCTAAATTGTTCTCCAACATCTGCTTTAGTTTCCAATGTGCAGACTCAACCCTTAAAATAAAATAAAAAACAAGTAAGTACACGTAATATTAATATAAACAAACTATGAATAAAATCAAGTAATATTAAGATAAAGATACCTATTAGTCGTGGTGTTTTCCAAATGCAACACTTGATTAATCCATGCTTCGACAAATCTATGCATATGTGGAGTCAACCATATATCTTTCACATAATCAATAAATGCTTTAAAGTCAACACATGCATGCTCAAGCTGTTGCAATTGTTGATGATACTCTACCTCATCACTAGCCCTTATAAGTTCATACCACATTTTCTCTATTGGCTCTCGCATGTCAGCCACAACATATTCCTTACACTTCGCTTTCATATTTTTGTTGATGTGAAATCGACAAAGCAAATTAATTGTCTTTAGAAATACCGTTTCAATTGCTTTCATCAAAGCAAGATCTCTATCAGTCAACATCACTTGTGGCTAAAACCTCTGCTTAGTAAACAACTTTTTCAACTTATCCAATACCCAACAACAAATTTATGTATGCTCTGATTCCATATAGGCAAATGCAACAGCAAATGTTAACTCAGTTGATGTCAAACCAACTATTTCAAACAAAGGTTGCCTATACTTGTTTGTATTGTATGTGTTATCCATAATCAACACAATAGAAAACATATTCAACAACTTCACTGATTCTGGATGAGCCCAGAAAATATCTCGCACAACTTTTGACTCATCTTTTTTCCTGCTCTAGTAAACACAATCTGAATCCTCTATCAGCTTAAACAAATGTTGCATTTTCGTTCTAGAATCCCTTATGTCTTTATGTATCTTACTCTTATGTTTATATATTTGCATGATCAGAGTGACATTCTCTGGATCTTGCTTGCAATGACAACAATATGTGTCTTGGTGGAACACGACGTTTTGTCAAATCAATATGCTCTTTATCATCTGCATTTAGTCGACCCACAACGCATGACCTTCAAATGTATCAGGTAACCCATGGTTGTGAAGTCCACATTTTACATCAATCTTCCATCTAGAACCATCTTTTGACGGTGTTGATCTAATTTTGAAAGGACAACCAGATCTCTTACTAGCATTTTGTGTTTCACTATCTCCTTCTTTGTATTTTCCACCTCTATCACAACCAAATATTACTTTATCACTTCTTCCTTTTTTGTTTGTTTTGGTATCTGAACGTGTTATAATTTCACAATCATGCTTGTGTGCAAATTCAAATGTCCCTTGCATAGAAAAAGAGAGACAAGCCCTTGTTGATTTCAAAGCATCCATTTCACAACACTCATCAAACAGGCTTACCTCATGGAAAGGTACTTACTGTTGCCAATGGGAAGGCATTCGCTGTGACAATGGCACTGGACATGTTATCAAACTTGATCTCAGAAATCCTTGTCACTTGCCATATTGGCAGCGAGGAGAACCTTATCTCTACGTTCAATACAATTTGTATGGTCAAATGGCCTGTATGTCGGTACAATCTCCAAATGTCAGCTCGTCTTTGCTACAATTGGAACACTTGACTTATTTGGACTTGACTGGAAATCATTTCAGTAGAAGTTCAATTCCTATGTTCATTGGTTCCATGGGACGCCTTGAGCATCTCTCTCTCTCAGACGCTGGTTTTAGCGGAAACATTCCCATCAGTCTCGGAAATCTTAAAAGCCTACAATTTCTTGATCTCAGCTTCAATTACGATTTTAGCCCCTCATTACAATTGAACGGGGACACCACTTGGATATCTAAACTTCATTCACTCAATCACCTTGACTTGACTTCTGTTCACATCAAGGACACACACAACTTATTCCAGGTACTCAATTTACTCCCATCCTTGTTGCATCTTTCCTTAGATGATTGTGAACTTGACAATTCACTCATTCCTCCTCATGCTTTCCAAAACATGACATCTCTTGTCTATCTAGATCTCTCAATTAATATGCTTTCTAGTCCAATTCTCGAGTCTTTTCAAAACATGACTTCCATTGAATCACTCTATCTTTCTGGAAACAATTTCACATTAGTTCCATCATGGTTTTGCAACTTTGAAAAACTTACTCATCTTGATCTTTCTCGCAATAGTTTAACTTCCATTCCATCAAGGTTTGTTGATTTGAAGAGACTTGTGTACCTTGATCTTAGTTTGAATCAACTCGCACTAAAAGATTACTTTCTATCATCAATCATAAATTCCATGTGCCGCCTAAAATTTTTGATTTTATCAATAAACAAGCTTTATATAGAATCAATGGAACACTTTGAAATATCTAAATGTATTAGATATGATTTGGAGTACTTGGATTTAGGTTATAATCATATCAGTGGCCACCTGCCAACTTGGTTGGAGAAACTTGAAAATCTAAAATATCTTGTTTTTACTTCAAATTATCTCCATGGACCTATCCCTTTGTCAATAGAAAAGTTGTCAAAATTGCATGGGCTACATCTCTCCAATAATATATTTGAAGGGCTCATTCCTGAAAGTATAGGTCAACTTGTCAATTTAACCAACTTACATCTTTCTTCTAATAAATTTTATGGTTCAATTCCTCAAAATCTATGGAAACTTACAAATCTACGTTCTCTTGATCTTTCAAACAATTCTTTTAATGGGGGCATTCGGGAAAGTCTTTGCCAACTTGTCACTTTATATGTCTTAGACATTTCTTCTAATAAATTAGATGGTTCTATTCCAGAAATCCTAGGAAAACTTACAAATTTAGAGTATCTTGACCTTTCAAACAATAATTTTAATAGGTTTGTTCTTAAAAGTCTTTGTCAACTTGTTAACTTATTTCATTTAGATGTTTCTTCAAATATGTTGGATGGAACAATATCTATGGAAAAAGGATGTCTTCTAAATTTGTGGCTTTTGAATCTTTCTCATAATCAAATAAGTGGTTCACTTCCAAAAAATATTAGTCTTATATCATTGTCTTTTTCAGAGGGCTTGTTTTTAGGAAATAACCACTTAAATGGTTCAATCCCCATCTCTTTGTGCCAAATTCCACTTAGCAGCCTTGACCTTTCAAAGAATAACTTGTCGGGTGAAATTCCAAATTGTTGGGAGGATAGTCTAGAAATATTGTCTGAGATAAACTTGTCATCTAACAAACTAACCGGAGCATTCCCAAACTCATTTGGGAATCTTCCCGCACTGCTTTGGTTGCATTTGAACAATAATAATCTTCAAGGAGAGCTTCCAACATCTTTTAGAAATTTGAAACAATTGTTGATTTTGGATCTTGGTGAGAATCAGTTTTCTGGAAGTATACCATCATCATGGACAATAGACACATTTTCTCTAGTGCAAATTATTAGATTGCGGCAAAACATGTTGAATGGCAGCATTCCTACGCAGTTATGTCAACTCAAGTCCCTCAAAATTTTGGACCTTTCTAGAAACAAATTACATGGCTCGATACCTCGATGCATAGGCCACCTTCAAGGAATGATATTAACACCATTGGCTCCAGCAAGGTCTCCAATACCATTTGAAAGAGTTACTTCTGAAGGATGGTCTAGTCAAGACGCCATGGAAGTGGTGAAAGGAGTGGAACTTAACTATACTAAAATCTTGAAGCTTGTAGTTCACATGGACTTGTCAGAAAATAATTTGGTTGGAGTCATTCCTGATGAAATCACTTTTCTCACAGGTCTTCATGGTTTGAGCTTGTCAAAAAATCAATTGACAGGAGAGATCCCTCAATTGATAGGAGACATGAAATCACTAGAATCCTTGGACATGTCTCATAACCAACTTTCAGGAAAAATTTCCAACACCATGTCTGCTTTAACTTCATTGAGTCATTTAAACTTGTCTCACAATAATCTCTCAGGACCAATTCCTAAAGATAATTAGTTCTCAACTTTTAATGACCCGTCTATTTATGCTTACAACCCATACCTTTGTGGATCTCCACTTCCAAACACGTGCCCTGGTGATCTTTCACATGGAGCTTCTGAAAGCAAAGGTAATGAGGATGAAGATGGGATAGAAAAAGTATGGTTCTACTTTGTGATAGCACTCGGCTTTGGGACTGGGTTATGGGGAGTTATTTTCACTTTGTGGTTCAAAAAGAATTGGATACATGCTTACTTCAGATGGGTGGAAGATGTTGGTGATGAGATATATGTGGCAATTGTAATAAAAGTGGCCAAATTAAAGAAGATGAAGATGAAGAGAAACCATGACCATGAGTGATTCTATTTTTACTTTTCTTCTTCGCCTCTTTCTTTTTCATATTAGAATAAGGTTAATGCCACAGTTTGTATTTTCTTTCTCCTGAGTAAATTTTATCTTTAATTGACAACATAAATGCATTTTTGTTCACTTAGTTAGTCTTTTGTTGTCTCAATCATTGTCACTTGAATTGTAGCATTGTAGGGCGATCATAACACTTTATTAATTCAAAGTATATAGAATATAAATTCATCTCTTCATAGTCGATTTTCCTGGATTAAAGAACCAGGTAAACAAGACAAATTGGAAGAACTCAATAGAATCAGATGACAGGCAAAAAAAATTATAAGCAGATAATCAATCTCCAAATCATGAGCACACTTATGAATAAATCATGACCACACTTACCTTTAGGACTCAGATAAGCGGAATATTGAACTCACTTCATCGGTATTAGGTGGCATTATAAGTTGTTTATAACTACCACCTTTGTGAATAAAGCATAACTGGTTAGTTTGAACTTAGCATAGAATCCGAACAGGTCGAACTTTGTGATCCCTTATGCATATTGACAGAAGAAGTCCATCTTTTTTTCAAGTAAAAAATGGTATTCAGACTCATTACTATAGAGGACAAAGTTACAGATAGGTTGACACCTTAGACATACTAAGAATATATTCAAAATTGAAAAGAAAAATATTGAACATAGACCAAACTCATGCAATGAAGTAACTATTTAAATATGGAAGTAGAGGCATGCTTTAAAAAACTCGTTCTATTGTAAAAAAAATTCTAATGTAAATGATTGTGTTTTAAAAATATATTTAAAAAAATACTCTCATTTGCGACGTGAATCTCACGTCACAACTTGAAAAATCACGATAGTTGTGACGTGAAAATCACGTCACAACATACTTTTGTAGGATTAACAACGTTGCAAGAAAAAGAGGTGATGTAAAGATAAAGTTACTTTATTTGCCACGTGATTTTCACGTCATAAATTATCACAACTTTGTGACGTGAAAATCACGTCACTAATATTTTTCGTTTTTTATTTAAAATATAATAATTAAAATTTGTTTTTATTTTATAATTAATTAAATTAATAATATTAATTAATAAATTCAATATATAATAAATTAAATTAATAAATTTGATATATAATAAATTCAATATATAATAAATTCAATATATAATAAATTCAATATATTAAATTTAATATAATAAAATTAATAAGCTAAAATTATAAATTTAAGAATTAATTAGTAGGTTTAATTAATTAGTATGGTACACAAGTTTCAATTTGAAAGTAAAATAAAAAAAATTAAAGTTTACAGGTCATCTTGGTTGGTTTAATTGTCAATGTCAAAAATATCTTTTTTTCCGTCATCCTCCGGCTCTTGACCACGAAAGTTTTGATTTCCACCAAACCCTTGCATAAATTGTCTTATTTGTTGCTCTATATCAGCTTGCCTCTTCGCCATGACCTCCATTTATCGTTGTTGCTCTTGCCTCATTGCCTTCATTTGGGCCTCTATTTGGGCTTTCATTGTCACCCCACGTTACGCTGACTCGCGTCTCGCCTCATTTAACGTCAATTGTCTTACCATTTCAAGTTGTTCTGGTGTCAAATTTGGTTGATGTGACCCCCTTTCCCCATCTCTAACTCTTTGAAATAGAGTTCTATCCCTACTTCTCAAGGTGCCCGCCAAATTTCCACCATAAAAAACCATTAGAGCCTTTTCCGCCAATAACTTGATCCCAAATATAAAAATTCACATTTGGATGAAGCGACTCTCCCTCTCCCGGAGTATATTGAAGATTATGAATCAGAAAATTTGCGAGCAATGTCTGATAATCATCTGATACATTCAATAAAAAATTAAGTTAAATATTTAATAAATTAAATTAAATTAAATTATATTATATTACAAAAGTTGCCACGTGATTTTCACGCCACGGCTTCTCAATTGTCACATGATTTTCACGTCATAGTTTCTGAGTTGCCATGTGAAAATCACAACACAAAATTGTCATTAAATAAATAAAAAAATATAAACAACAACGTAAATTAAATAACTTACGAAAGCTTTTAGAGTGCGTTCGTCAACAAAATCCCTGGTTTTCTTTGTCCGAGTCTTTTTAACCAACTCAATTATTAATGGAGGTTTCCCCAAATTCTTGGTCTAAATAATAAAATTAATATTAATTAATAAAATATATTATGAATCAAAATATAACTTAAAAAAGTGGTAATATTTATCATACGTCGAACATGCTCTGCGGTACTTATACTTTCAACTGCATTAACGCAATCCCCTTTTTCAGATGTCCTCATCTTCTTAAAATTTTCAGATTTAATCAGAAATTCTGGTGACTCCCAATATTTAAGAAGTTCCTCAAAAACCTCTTTCCCTATCCAATTGGGACGGATACCCTGAAGTTCCCAACGCTCTCTAACACGCCGCATTATGTCAGAAAGTCGTCTTGAGATTCTACCATAATAATTTTTTTATCATCTTCTCGTTCAATGGGTCTCACACACATTTTTCCTGCAATATTGTATGACATTAAAATAAATAGTTAGATAATTATAATGAAAAATTAATTTAAATAACAATAACTAAAAAATAAATTAATTATACCTTAAATTTGTTAAACCAAATTTCTTTATTTTTGACATCTTTGAAGGTCTTCCAAAATTGTTTATACATCTGCTGAATTATATAATTTATAACCTTGACAGCAGTCCGACTCGGCGAGAAACTAAACAACAATAATTTAAATTAGCAATATTAAATATAAATTTATATTAAAAATGAAAATGTATTCTTAAATAAAAATTTATAAATAAGAAACTTACGAGTTTCCTTCGGGTCAAATCCAAAATCTCTCGTCAATGACATGAATCTCACTCGGATCATCATTCCCTCGAAGATCATTTCCATCTAACACGTCATCATCCCCATCCACATGATCATCATCATCATCATCATCCGGTTGCGCATGATCATCCTCACGTGCAGGTACATGTGTGGGATGTGGGGTGCGAGATCCTCTGCTCTGTGTGGGATGTGGGGTGCTGGATCCTCCAATCTGTTGGAAGGATAAGGGCATCTGTGTGGGATGTGGGGTGCTAGATTCTCTAGTCTGCTGGAAGGATGAGGGCATCTGTGTGGGATGTGGAAAACTGGGTCCTCCAATATGCTGGAAGGATGAGGGTATTTGGGTCTGCGGGAAAATAAAACCAGGTGGCTTAACAAAAGATGGTAGCCCATACGGGCTAATAAAATAAGAACTCCCAAATGGGAATGACATATTCTCATAGGAGAGTAATGGCACAAAACGCTGAGTATTGGCCATGAACATAGGATCGACCTGACTCTGCGGGGGAGGGCACGTGTCCGACTGAGGTGCCTCACATGTTACTAACCTCAGTCGTTGGGACTTTTTTTATCACTATCTTTACTCTTATCAATTCAAGGTGGCATTTTACTTATTTATATCGATTACACAGTTAATATATATATTCATCAACAAAAATACTAAATTTGAAAAATACATTCTCTTCAATACATATTTATTAACACATTCAATAGATGATTCATTATTCTCATCAATACATATTCATTAACACATTTAATAAATAGTTCATTATTCTAAATCTCCATGCTCGTCATCCATATCATTCTCATCATCTGATGTGATATTGTCCTCGGATCCAAACTCTTCATCATGCTCTCCGTCCACATTATTATCAACCAACAATATAGACGCATCAAATTGATGTCTCTCAACCATTATATCAAACAAACTCGTAATTTGTTCATCTGCAATCACATCATTAATTTGCTGAACTTCATTAACTTGGTAAGCAACATCTTCCACTAGATCTCCACTTTCAATATGACCCAGGGGTTTTGTTTTTATTACAACACACCATCCTCTTTTACATGGTACAAGTGAAGGATAAGGAACATAGTAAACTTGTCTAACAATATGTGACATTATGAAAAAGTCATACTCTTTGTACCTCTGATCCATTTGAATCTCAACAGTACCATATGACTTATCTATTTTTGTGCCTCTAGTTGGATCATACCATTCACAATAAAACAAGACAAATTTATTTTCCGAGTCCAAGTAATTGTATACCAACTCGTAGATATGTTTAACAAATCCATAGAAGTCATCTTCACCGCCATTTGTAACTCCTTTTACAAATACACCACTGTTTATGGTTTTTTTCCTTTCAGTTCATGTCTCGGTGTGAAATTTATATTCGTTCACGAAGTATGTGTGCCATTTATTTGCACTTTGAGTAGGGACTTCAAACAAGTTTCTCAAATGGAGTATTTCTGGAGTCAATGCAACAATGTTAGACAATCTCTCCTTGAACCATGCTCGAAATTGAGCATGAATGACACCAGATGTTGATTGTACACCAACACTATGAAAATAGGCGATGTTAAATTCCCTAAAAAGAAACACACTATAAGTTTCAAGATAATAAGTTTTATATTAACACTGCAAAGAAAATTAAACAGTTGGGATATACTTATTCAAGATATAGTTTAACTTTAACGCAATTGATCAAGACATGGACATGTGCGGATTGCATTTCTTTTTGGGTCAACCAATGTACACCCTTCTTTCCAGAGGGACGACCTGGACGCCCG